GCCGTGAGGGCGCAAGGGGTCGTTCGAGCCTCGATGGTTGGCGACTTGCTTGACTGAGAATTGGCGAGCGCTGCGGCGACGATCTGACCTATTTTCGCTTGCTGAGCTAAGGTGAAGTCAGACATTTCTTCCACTTCCCTATCTTCTTTCAGTGTATCCTCAGTGGTCTGTAAAGGCAGATCAGTGCTGCTAGGAAAACCGTAACGCGCAGGCGTAGTAGTTTCTTGTTGTGTTATCCATGTAACTTACCATGGTACATGCTTTAGGTCGCGTCATAGCATATGCACGTGACTGTGGAACTAAACCGTGGGGTGTTTAGTGTGTAATGCATGTGTGGGTATACTGGACCAAACTAGAACTCGATGGAATAGAGATAATGGAATCAGCGGGAGACTGATAGACTGAGAGAGAACGAGATGGGCATTTCTCGTAGGAGAGAAATGATATCATAAGGGAATGTTCTAGCACTAGGCTGTGAACAACACAGTAAGTCTGGAGCAAGATATAAGGAGGTCTCAACCTCCGTCCATTCATTTGTAACTAAGTTTCCTTTATACGAGAATATAGAGTCAAGTCTTACATATCACGAGAACACACGCGACAGCGACTATAGAGACCTACTGTGAGCATAACTTCCCCAAGAGTATCCATCGTCCTGCTCCCATATAGCCTAGTTAATACAACATTTCTCGTGCGCTTCGACGCGTTGACATGCGTGGAAGTTGGAATATGGAGACCGTTTTTTATGAATGGCAATCGAGTTAGCGAAGTTCCGAGGCAGAGAAAGAACGCTACAGAGGTAGGCGCAACTTTAATAATTTTCCGGCTTGCTCCGGAGACACTCCAATCAGCGAACTGACTAGAAGGCACCTACTTGGAATGGTAGGCAAGAAGTCGTTGGTTAAGTCGTGCAGCAGAGGTGCGACGTCGCAGTTAATGACTGGCAGATAATATGCTTCTCAGCAAAGGTTGTATTGGTCTTTTCTTATATTACGACCGACCTCAGGTTGACACTAGAAGACTCCCTCGAAATATAAAAGAGTAATTGCTTTGTATTTGGACCTAAAGCTACGCACGATAACTAAAAGAAAAGACAAGGAGAGAAAGAGGTCTGCAGCCTCGCTGTGCTGAAAACTCCACCAGCTCGCTTCCGGGACCAACGCTTACTTAACCAGACTCCACATCACGTGATACCATAAACCTATCATCTGTAAACTCAAGCCGTAACATCAACTCTAGGATATGCGGACATAAATTCGCGTTTTACATGTAACTTAGAACTTTAATGGAAACAATATTCTTTGGGCTATTCAATCTGCTCCTCTTACTATGAAATCGCAACAGTTTTAGTAGCTGTGCGTGTAAAGTCGGAAAAAATCCATGGTTCCTGGATTAGTACAATGTCTGCTCCTGCTTGATAGGCAAGATCAAGAGCTGTGTTGTGAGTAGGCCCACGTTTTCCAAAATTGACCTGCAGTACGCAGAGACCAGCAGATTCCTGCTCTCTGCGTGCACGTCCTCGGGTCATCATAATTAATCTTCCATGGTGATCAAGGGGGCAAATCTGGATCCAGATCCGATAGTAGCAGCAGATGGTGTAGGACTACCTTCGAGCGTGGCTCTAGCCTGCTGAGTTATCTCTACCTCGGTAGGAGGAAGTGGGGGAGGATTGAGAGCGATCCAGGCTCTGGGACCATCTTGTTGGATAGCCCGGAGCCAATTTTTGTCTGGTCGTATAAAGACACCGTTCGCACGGAGTGGACGAGCTAGGCAGCCGGGTGATGATGCCTGGTGGGGTCCAGCACAGTTTAGACACTTACCTGGGGTGACACACGGCCCGTTATGAGAATCTGTAGCGCAGATGCCGCAGCGAGCGTGCCTGGTGTGTAACGGCTGGTAAGCCGATTTTTTCCTGTAGCGCATGTTGGCCAACATGAGCCTAGCCTGACATTGGTAGCGCACAATTGATCGACATCAATGCGCGGATATATGACGCCGCTCAACAGAATATCAAGGTATTGGCATCTAGTTTGGCAGGGCAGCAGTATTGGACCATATAGCTACAACACATTAAGATGTTACAACAAATTGAGATGTTACAACAAGTAGGGTCAACACATGTGAAGAATCCCATTGGAACCGAGAGGGAGGGACTGTGCCTCAAGCACATAGACAATGTATATATATGTATAGAAAGAGACTGAAGTAGTTTTCTCTTCAGAATGATAATTTACATACTATTGACCACATAGTTGCACCAGCGCCTGTTCCTTGATCCGTGACATGGTGCATGCATTAACGTTATGGTAGCCGTGGCATCTAGGACATACCTGGAGCTGAGGTCTCTTGTCGAGAGGCTTTAGCCTTGTGGCTCTAGCAAATAGACGGAGGTGTGTTGGAAGCTTAGAGGTGGCGGAGGCCGAAACTACGAGACGGAGAGTCACATCTCCTTGGGGAGATGTTAAAGATCGACGAGTCCAGTTTATGGAGTAAATTTTTGTGGTATCAATGTTTGCAGACTTTAATTCTTGCCGAATTTCTTCGTCTGAAAGTGGCTCGCAAACCCTGGATGCGTTGTATCCATATTTTGGAACTGGTCCGAGAAGATAGCTAAGCCTTTTTTCCTGTCGCTCTCTCTGAGAATTTCCAGTAATTGGCTGTAGGGCTTGAGCAGCCTGTAGCAGCTCTGGAGCTTGGCTCGCCGAGGGGGCTACTAGGGCAATACCGGATGGAACATTCCGAATATCTTTGATGAGCTCTGGTCGGTCCAATAGCCCTCGGAGCCTAGAGCGGACCAGAAGTGTGTCCAGGAGACGTAGAGGGTGGTCGGTAGGGAGACGAACAATCATCCAAGTATTGATCTTCGTTGTTTTCGCTCGTTTCTTGCCCTTCTTTGGGTGGGTTTTCGGTGCGAAACCAGGATCTTGGGCCGGCGCTGGTGGGCCAGATTTTGTTACATTGGCGTACGTTAGCTTTGTGGCGGTTTTTGCTGGTGCTTGGCGGGCTGGTACAGTCATCTGGTGTGGGTGAGTCTGTGGTTGTTGATTCATGGGTCTATTTTCAAAGACAGGAAGACCCGCTATAACCCGAGCGGAGCTACGCGTAACAACAGCTCTAAGGTCTGCTGAGATTGCAGGCGGTAGACTACGGAGATATTCGGATCCAGCATTTTACCAGGCTAGATGCGCCGTTGCGAATTCATTTGTCACTGCTGCTGATAGGGAGGGCACAGCACGAACGTATGAGCTTACATTCTCTCTACTATGGGTGGGAGTTCTGTACTCGTGAGAAGGAGATGCGTGCATCGAGTGAGCAAGCCCTAGTCTTGCTTGGTTTATCTTTGGATTCTTTGAGGGGGCACCAATTCTATCTTTTGAGGCCTGGATTTGAGAAGCTGAGTTGTGGTCCTGGTCGGAGTTCTCGCTTTCGTCGTCAGAGTACGCGAGCATATACTCATCCGCTGAGTCAGTAATCATCTCATCTACTCGGTGGATAAGTACGTCTTCCTGGAGAGTCGCTATATTCGATTCTTCACGGATAGTCGGGAGGAGGGAGCGTGTTTTTATGCGTTTGGACGCGCGAGTCGCTGCACATGTGGGTGACGGCCGCTGCGATGAGCCGGGTTTTTTCCGCCTCCCGGGTGGCATTTATGCTATAGGTTTTTATGAGGATATGGGTGTAGATATGAAGCGTGAAGAATGCAAAGATACAAATTGTGTGTGTTTAGACTTCTCCCTCTTATTTTTATTTTTTATTTATTTATTTTTAAAGGTCTACCGGGCTTCAGCTACAGCTAAGGCCCTACCCTTGGGCGACATGGTGACAACTACGTACTGAACTATATAACACTAAATTGGGAGCCTGAAGGCCTTGAAAGCTGCATTTGTTAAGGTGTTGTGAGCGCTGTACAGCGGGACTCTCACAAGGACATGAGTCAATGGGCACGGATCGGGCAAATTTCCGAAAGGAACTTTGTCTTCTCCAAAATGGAAGAGAAACGCTTTGCACCACGGGAGGAGCCAAGAAGTAAATCCAGCTTCCCCAGGCTTCTTCGATAACCAGCAGAGGCTAGCCTCCCTCGAACGAGGGGGCAGCTTCTCCCACTTAGTTGGGAGCACACTTTGGTACGCAGCATAATGGTCACGTGATTGGTCTACAAGCGAACTAGCTAGGGCATAAGGGAAGAGCTTCCCTCCGATGTGACACAATAATCAACAAACAAACTTCATATGCACATTCCAATGAATAAGTCTCTCCATAAGCTATCTTAGCTGTCCCAGCGCAAATGTAAATTCCCAATCCATATATAAATTATAATAATAGATTCTTTGGGGATCAGCTCCCCATGCTATGTCAGATTAGATGAAGGGCTTGACCCTCAGTATCTACTAGAACAAATTTTGGCATATTTCGAAATAAAAATTTTCAAATGTAATTAGAATCTTTAATTAGATTTACAAAGTCCTCCATAGTCTTAGACTCAGTAGGGACTATAATAAATATCTAATCTAATCTTATCAGATTAGATGCAGGGCTTCTACCTGGCACTACAAAATTCTGATCATATAACAACTCTTAGTATCTTAAATTACAGCTTGTAAACCACGCTTTCCTTAATGTTTGAAGATGAAGTGTTTCAAACAACGTCAACAGCAATTCTTCACTACCTTGGTCTTAGCTAGGGTTGCAAATAAAATAAAAGTATTCACTTGACAGAATGACTCGTGCTGAATAAATGGGAGGGACTTTCAGGGTAAAATTTAAATATAGGCAATCCCCAAGATTAACCTCCATGCTCCAAATTTAATGTCATAGGCTTCTTCACTCGCTATTTGTTTGAGTCCAGAGTCTATTTGCACTCTCCCGTCGCCTCTTCGGAAGCCCCAAATCTGAATCACAGAAAGAGTTGGTGGTCAGTTCTTTTGAATAGTAAGTAACTTATAGCACGACGATACGATTATCCTAATAATCTTAGATCACATCTTATCTAGACTGCTGTAATGTCGTGCCTCCTCGCCATCCTGCTATATACGGGCCTGGGTTCACCGGTGGAAGATCGTCTGGTACTTGCGTATGAAGCACACGGACATAATTTATATGGGAGCTTTAATGTTAATCGCAGACAAATGTTTCCTCAACCTTCAAAATCTGCTCGCATATTCAAAACACCAACTAGAGTGGAAGAACCAGGAACCTATATTTCCGCTTACTGCACACTCGAAGCCGAGCCGTCTTCCATGTATTCCTACATGACAAAACTGGCGTCAGGTGCTATTCCAGGTTATCACACTCAGTCCATAGACCTTCCCGACGCGCAAGAATGCTTATCTTATCTCCACTCGCAGTACCGGACAATGAAGGACTCATTGGAAGGAGTGGTAATAAACAGGAAAGACGATCGAGATTTCTACTGTTCGGAGAAGAAAATAGTCGGTCTTGCCCTTGATGGTCAAATTAGGCTAACCGGTACCGATGATTTAAAAACTACAATACGTTCCACTGATTACCCCCTTGTTAGGCTTCCGCCTCGACTTCAGATGAATAAATTTACTACACATGGCAAATTTATTAGAGTTGCCAAAATACGTGAGGAGACGTACGCATTAGCATGGCTTGATGAACATCTGCGCCTATTTAAGTACCAGCCACACGAAGATGTATGGGTAATTATTGGTAGTAATACATACGAGATATCTACCGGTACAACTATGGTCGGCTTTCTCAGGCAAGCTTATTCGCAAATAGATGGAATCATGACAGATATGGACATTTTAGCAAAATCCTATAATAGACTGCTGAGTGAATCAAATGGGAATGACGCGCGGGGTTACAGGAGATCTATCGCCGAGCTGAATAAAGAGAGACATAATATCATGGTTGCGATTGAAAGGCCAGTTGTGATAGCTGCAACGGGCTATCTCGGTGGAGTTATTTCCACTTGACGGAGACCACGTGGGTGATGGATAATTGTTTTGATCAATTACTTAAATGTGCACTGAGCCCTGACTGCCTCTACCGCCGAAATTTGATAATTGTTAGCATTGCCAGAATAGCTTATATATAATCTGTTTGTCTATCCATATTATATGTCTTAGTGTCCAACGATTCTGATATTATCTTTTGGCCTGGTGGCTACATGTCTATGCCATTCGCAAGGAAGGAAACTACTACGAGACCAGCCACTCATGATAAGTTCCTGATTGGCAACTGAGTGCGGGTTCTTCTTGTCCTGCCTCACGCCAGTCACTAGGCCACGCATGCTCATAAGCCGCTGTGAATTCACAGTCCTTTGCCCGCTCCCAACCATTTCTCACCAGGAAAAATAGGTAAAAGATCGCTTGGAATCCGATCATCCTCCATCGTTCTCGTATGTACACTTGGGTAAAAACCTGGATCCAAGTAGCGGTCGGCCCACAACAATACATGGCGGCTGCTAGACCGATATAACACCTAAGCTTACCCTATTGCCACGGTGAGGATCCTAAAGCGCAGATAATCAGGAGCTGAAGACAAAGTACCAGCGTCGTCTTACCACTAGTTGGGAAGACTGGATCGTCGCACAGGGCAATAGTGTAGGATGTATATGGAGCGTAGTAGTCGATAGGAGAAAGGCTAGACAACCTTCTGCTTATTTTAGACTTCGATATTGATCACCCCATGAATCTGATATAGTGAGTCCCGAGCGATATCAGTCTCATTCACAGTCAGACCCCTGTTAAGACAATATTTTTTCCGGAACAGACTTCGTTCCCTTCCATTTACCGATTACACAATTATCGTTCTTCAACCTCTGAAGATCCTCTTAACCAGGGTTTTTTTGCTAGATTGGTGCTTACAATACCGCCAAAAAAGGGAATTTCTGTGGAGCAACAACGTGCTCTGCGACGATGGGTGCACTACCAGGTCCCAAAACCAACACAAAAACAGTGCATTGAGTGGTTCTTCGCTGAGTACAGGTATTGATTAAGCCAGTCCACAGTCTCCGAGTCCTTGAGCAAGACCTTTGCGAAACTCGACGAAGCTCCAAGTACTAATGCGCTACAACAGCGAGCTGGAAACTTGCCTGACCTTGAGAGTACTAGAGCGATAGAAGACGGCAAATGGGAGTATAAAAGAGGCATCAAAAGTACAAAGTAGCCTAGATAGCTGGATTAGATAATGATATCCTTTTCAGTGGTATCCTCTGTATGACGATATTTTTCACGGCCCCAATTACATCGTCTTAACAGGGGTTTGACTGTACTTACCAGTACCCACAACGGTGTCAACTTTAAAGTGGGATTTTGGCAGGGCTTTTAGCGTGCTAACGAAGACTGCCAACAGTCTCTTAAGGATGTTAATTGTACAATTGTCAAAATGACTGGGGCTGGATCCCTGTACATATTGATTTGATTGGTTTGATCCTGATGCAGGTCCATGTCTAGTTTGTCGACTAGTTGATGCAAGCCGGGGTACTATCCAACAATAGTCCGTGAAAGTTAAAATTAATGGGGACGATTATCATTGATTTGATTTCATTTAGCCCGTTCAGGTACCCTATGGGCCCATGCAGGTATACCTAGCTATAATATTTACACAGGAGGAAACCTTTATGGTAAAAACCCCCTACAACTGTCTGTCTCGTGTTTATTTTTTTCTGAGGTATCCTGTAGGAAGTACAATTACACTGTTTGTGTTTTTTATTGTACTACTTGAGTCAAAGACTATCTAGCATATTGGGCTCCTCTCTGACCCAGGCCACACCTTGACCAGTGCTCCTTACCTCTTTTGTTACTTGTAAGATCATTGTGTCTGAACATGGTAGTTATTGGTATTGCGATTTATGCTAAACCTGGTGGTGTAGTTGATCACAGTTTGAGAGTATGCTCTGAGTTGCAATGGTGGCTTGTTATGGATGCGATTGCGACAATACAGTTGAGGGTGGTATGAAAGTTGGCACTTCAATGGGTCTCAATTGTGTGGGGATTAATTTAATCACTGATGATAATTATGTTATTGTACTATCTACAAAGAATGTGTTACAGTTCTATGTGTGCCAGTAATCGCTTAGATCTGGCTAGTGGGTTGACCACTCTTTTACTTCACTCCCATGTTCTATCACGTGAGGTAGTATAACTGCTCACCACGAAGTCCGCAGATTTGAACAGCGTTAGATCACAACACTTCCCCTCGCTTTGCACATCTGATATGATCTGAAAGTCGGTGATGTATAGATTTAACGAGAGACTTGGTGAGTAGATCGGCAAGGTTATTAGCTGATTTCACGTGGAGAAGTTCAAATTCTCCTTCGTTAAACTTCTCACGAACGTAATGATAATGTACGTCGATATGTTTTGAACGACCGTGAATCCGCGGGTTTCTTGCAAGTTCTTGGGCTCCATTGTTATCAGTGTAGAGCATTGTGTCATACTCTTGGCGCAGTTGTTTTAACCCAAATTTTGTCCAGGTAGTCTGGCGTGCAGCTAGTGACATGGCCATATATTCGGCTTCTGTAGTTGATAATGCCACAGATCGCTGTTGTTTGCTGCTCCATGATATTGCAGCATTGCCTAGGCGAATTACATATCCTGATGTGGATCTTCGAGTATGAGGATCGTCAGCATAGGATGCGTCGGCATACACCTCGAGTACCCTGCTGGTTCCATGCGGGTAAAACAAATCCCAATCGGTTGTTCCAGCTAGATATCGAAGAGTTTGTTTGGCGGCTCGCAAATGACTTTCGTTTGGGCAAGATGAAAACTGGCTTAAGAGTGTGACAGTGTAGGCTAGATCAGGGCGACTCCCTATGACAAGATACATAAGGGATCCAACTATGGCTTGATATTCTTTTATATTTCCGAGACGTTCCTCTTCAGTGCCTTTGAAAAGGGTGACGTTTGGATCGAGAGGAGTACTTACTTTGTGAGCAAGTGTAAGGCCAAAGCGTTCTAGAATCTTCTTTGAGTAACCTTGTTGAGAGAGTCGGATACCTGTTTTTTCTAGTTTAATCTGTAGTCCAAGGATATAATGAGCATTTCCTAAGTCCTTGCAATCAAAATCTTTTCCGATACATGACTTGAGGTTTTGGCTAAATTTATTATCTGAACAAAAGATTAGTATGTCGTCAACGTATATCGCTACAAAGGCGTTTTCTGTTGGATGAACGAAGACGCATGGGTCGAAATCTGCTATTTCGAATCCTTTTTGTTGAAGTGATGTCGATATGCAGGCGTACCATTCACGGCCTGATTGTTTTAGACCGTAGATACATTTACGGAGTGCAGCACATTTTCCAGATTTTCGGTATCCCGGTGGAAGTTCCATGAATATTTCTTCCTTTAAAGAACCGTATAAGTAGGCCGAGTTTACGTCCATTTGTTGTGGTATCCATTTATTTTGGGCAGCGATGCGAATTAACATGCGAAGGCTTTCGTATCGAGCAACAGGGGCAAAGGTTTCATCAAAATCATAACCAGGAATTTGACTGAATCCTTGAGCTACTAGACGTGCTTTGTACCTGTCAATTGAACCATCAGCATGTCGCTTTATTTTAAATACCCATTTAGATCCAACAACATTGCGCTGTGACGGCCGGGCAGTTTCATCCCAGGTGTGCTTTTGTTCTAAGGAGTTAATTTCCTGATCGATCGCTTCACGCCAGTGGTTTGCATCAGACCTTTCGAGTGCCTCCTCGATTGTTGTTGGTTCCTCATTTGTTTCCGGTGCAGTTTGTGCTGCAAGAGCTACAGCATTATATTCAATTTCATCCTGAACATTTTCTACATGCACTAGCTGTCCATGCTCCAAGTCATGTTGTTCCCTCGAGCGTAGCTCAGGGCCATGAAATATAGGTGAACCGTATCTTTGAATAGGCTTTGATGACCTTTTGGGTCGACTATGTACTGATACTTGGTTTTCGCTAATTTCGGAGGTTTGGGGTTGTGCTTTTGTGTGCGTTTGTAATAGTGATTGTCCATGATGATCATGTATTTGCAGCAGATTGGATTGTAATGATCTTGAGGGATTTTCGAGGTTGGATGCTGTGTCTGAAGCTTCTGGTTGGTTTTCGCAAGATATTATTTCCTCCGGGGATATTTCTGTTTCTGCCACTATTGTCTGAAAATTGTTGCTTCGAGTATCAAGGGCGTTTCTTATATTTGCTTCCCCTGAATCGAGCGGCGCAAATTTGACGTTGGGAGATTCGATTACTTTATTTTTTGAAGGGATCCATATCCGAAATATTTTTGTGCTTTCCGTGTATCCCACAAATTTGCCTTCCATAGCTCTTGGTAGTAGCTTTGTTCCTGCGGGTCGCGAGTCCTTGTGAATATGAACAAAGCAGTTTTTTGCCAAAAGATTGGAGATGGTGTATTGTGGGTTTAGTGCCAAGTAAGGCCTCATATGGCGTAGTGTTGGGAGGTAGCCGTGAATGAGGAAGGCGATTTTTGAGGTAGCAGGCGGCTGAGATTGCTTCTGCCCACAGCGTGGTGTTAAATCCAATTAACATTGCTCTAGCCATAGTGGTTAATGTTTGATTGTAACGTTCAGCTAATCCATTTCTCTCATGCTCATAGGCTGGCGACATTTCATGTACTATACCTTCATAATTAAAAAGAGAGTTGACGGCTTGATTGACGAATTCTCCTCCACGATCAGTTCTCCAACGTTTGATACTGGTACCGAATTGTGTTTTAACAAAGCGAATAAAATCGAGCATTGTTTGTGCGGTATCATTTTTTCTTTGTAGGAACTTGACCCAGGAGTATCGTGTTTTTCCATCAATAAAGGTAATATAGTATAGGCTTTGGCCAAGTGATGGTACAGAGAATTTTCCGGATAGATCTGAGTAGATAATATCAAATTTACTGGCTGGGATTTCATGGGTTGATTTTGGTACAATGTGTTTAGATTTAGCTTTCTCACATGTTGGACAGTAGAAGTTTGCAGGCGGTAAGGGAAGGTT